AGGGGTAATTATGAAGCAAAGAAACCCGGTGCAACAGCATCATTTAAACTACAAGGGCCCACTTAACAGCAAACCCAATTTGAGAACATACAGAAGGGCAGGAAGATCAGAGTGGAGTACCAACAGAGGGATAAACAGACCACCAAAAAGGACGGAAAACACAAACAATGCCTTCAAGAAGCCGTACCAGTAGAAAGCAAAAAGAAAGCAACGTTAGAGATGAATAAGAAAATCGCCGGAAATTTAGAAATTTTTATGTTAAAATAGGAAGACATAACGTCAAATAAAACGATTTTAAATTGGGTCAAAGGTTATAAAATACCCTTTACAAAAAACCCTATTCAATTGGAAATACCTACAGTCTATATTAATCAAAAGGAGATAGCCTTATACGATTCTGCCATCCAACAACTTCTAGAAAAATCTGATGTGTTCAACACACGACTTTCCTATCTAATTATTCCAGGCTTTTTTCGGTTATTTTGTACAACCTATTGTATCACCTCTATAAATATTTAGAAGTTAACTTAAAATATACATTTTCCACATATATCTGACTTGAAACATTTTTCTATATACACTCATTGCCAACGAAAATGCTGAAAAATTTAAATTTTATACTTTTTCTCTATTTTTTCCATTGCGGCACATTTTAGAGAAATCCTGTGAGAAGCAAAAATTATAGAGATCGATATCGCAAATATCTTTTAGTTCAACAATTTTCTAAAAAGAATTTTTTACATTTTACGCACACGCACACGCCCTCACACATACAAGCACACGCACACGCACACGCCCTCACACACACAAGCACACACACGCCCTCACACACACAAGCACACACACGCACACACACACACACACACACACACACACACACACACACACACACACACACATTCACACACACACACATACACACACACATACACACACATACACATACGCGCCCACACACACGCGCCCACACACACGCGCCCACACACACGCGCCCACACACACGCGCACACACGCGCACACACGCGCACACACGCGCACACACGCGCCCACACGCGCCCACACACACACACACACACACACACACACACACACACACACACACACACACACACACACACACACACACACACACACACACACACACACACACACACACACACACACACACACACACACACACACACACACACACACACACACACACACACACACACACACACACACACACACACACACACACACACACACACACACACACACACACACACACACACACACACACACACACACACACACACACACACACACACACACACACACACACACACACACACACACACACACACACACACACACACACACACACACACACACACACACACACACACACACACACACACACACACACACACACACACACACACACACACACACACACACACACACACACACACACACACACACACACACACACACACACACACACACACACACACACACACACACACACACACACACACACACACACACACACACACACACACACACACACACACACACACACACACACACACACACACACACACACACACACACACACACACACACACACACACACACACACACACACATATCATCGCGAAAATAGTCGAAACGGATTCAGGAGACCCCAAAACGTAAAAATCCGTCGAAAACTAGAGGTCGAAAAAAATCATGATTCCCATACTTTCCTTATCTGTATACAGATAGGAAAGTAAAAAGCACAAGAAAAAACGGAAAATTTGTTTATTTTTAAATTTTATTATTATATAAGTTAGGAATGCTTATTCTATACAGTTTGGAGTCATGCAATGTAGTTCACGAAACAGACTTTCAAGTCTAATGTGATGCTGCGTTTGTCTGACTTCCATTTGTATTTAATATTTTCATTCTATCATTGTGTCATTTAACATTGTATAGAATATTGTAATGTATTTAATCTGAAGAAACTGAATTGAAATTGATGCCGCAAGAAGATAAAATGTGATATGAGAACGTTTTTTCCAAAATGGTCCGAGGAACAAAAAAGAAGTGATTATATTGTCAAAGTATTTTAGCTGTATATAACATTTCCTTACTTTTTACTTTCCTATCTGTATACAGATATAAGGAAAGTATAGGAATCATGATTTTTTTCGACCTCGAGTTTTCGACGGATTTTTACGTTTTGAGGTCCCCTGAATCCGTTTTGACTATTTTCGCGATGATGTCTGTGTGTGTGTGTGTCTGTGTGTGTGTCTGTGTGTGTGTGTGTGTGTGTCTGTATAACGCATAACTCATGAACCGATACACAGAAAAACACCAAATTTTAAACTTAAGCTTTGTTTCAGCGTCCAATGAGCTGATTAGATTTTGGGCAGTGTCGGAACATCTGGGGGGGTACTTTATTGGTGGTCATTTTTATATTTTATGGAATATATCTGTTATTTATGTTTGAAGAAGAAAATTCTTCAAATAAAAGTTACTTCTAATATAATTATCTATAATTTTTGTTTTATGCAAAATTTTCCTAAAATGGTCCGTATTCGAGAAATTTGACAAAATGTAAAAAACATAATTTTTTATAAAAATTGTTCAAATAAAAGTTGTTTGTAATATAATTCTCTATAATTTTTGTCCTATACATAATTTCTCTAAAATGGACCGTATTCGAAATATTTGAGAAAATGTGTAAATTTCGAAATTTGAAGAAAACTCAAAAACGGATAAAGGAAAAAACATTAAATTTTAAACTTAAGGTTTATTTCGGCCTGACGTAAAATGATTAGATTTTGGACAAAGTCGGAACATCTGGGGGGGTACTTTATGGGAGGCCGTTTTTATATTTTATGGAATATATCTGTTATTTATGTTTGGAGAAGAAAATTGTTCAAATAAAAGTTACTTCTAATATTATTATCTATAATTTTTGCTTTATGTCAAAATTTCCTGAAATGGTCCGTATTCGAGAAATTTGACAAAATGTGCAAAATTCTGATTTTTATGAAAATTGTTGAACTAAAAGTTGTTTGCGATATCGATTTCTATAATTTTTGTTTATACATGATTTTTCTAAAATGGACCGTAATGGAAAAGTGCTAAATTTAAATTTTTCTGTATTTTCGTTTTCAATGAATATCTATAGAAAAATGTTTCGAGGTAGAGATGTATGTGTAAAATGTATATATTTAGTTTATCCTCTAAACATTTATAGAGATGCTGCAATAGGTTGTACAAAATAACCGGAAAATGCCTATAATAACTAGATAGGAAAGTCATGTGTTGGACACATCAGATTTTTACTTTCCTATCTGTATACAGATATAAGGAAAGTATAGGAATCATGATTTTTTTCGACCTCGAGTTTTCGACGGATTTTTACGTTTTGAGGTCCCCTGAATCCGTTTTGACTATTTTCGCGATGATGTCTGTGTGTGTGTGTGTGTGTGTGTGTGTGTGTGTGTGTGTGTGTGTGTGTGTCTGTATAACGCATAACTCATGAACCGATACACAGAAAAACACCAAATTTTAAACTTAACCTTTGTTTCAGCGTCCAATGAGCTGATTAGATTTTGGGCAGTGTCGGAACATCTGGGGGGGTACTTTATAGGTGGTCATTTTTATATTTTATGAAATATATCTGTTATTTACGTTTAAAGAAGAAAATTCTTCAAATAAAAGTTACTTCTAATATAATTATCTATAATTTTTGTTTTATGCAAAATTTTCCTAAAATGGTCCGTATTCGAGAAATTTGACAAAATGTAAAAAACATAATTTTTTATAAAAATTGTTTAAATAAAAGTTGTTTACAATATAATTCTCTATAATTTTTGTCCTATACATAATTTCTCTAAAATGGACCGTATTCGAGATATTTGAGAAAATGTGTAAATTTCGAAATTTGAAGAAAACTCAAAAACGGATAAAGGAAAAAACATTAAATTTTAAACTTAAGGTTTATTTCGGCCTGACGTGAAATGATTAGATTTTGGACAAAGTCGGAACATCTGGGGGGTACTTTATGGGAGGCCGTTTTTATATTTTATGGAATATATCTGTTATTTATGTTTGGAGAAGAAAATTGTTCAAATAAAAGTTACTTCTAATATTATTATCTATAATTTTTGATTTATGTCAAAATTTCCTGAAATGGTCCGTATTCGAGAAATTTGACAAAATGTGCAAAATTCTGATTTTTATGAAAATTGTTGAACTAAAAGTTGTTTGCGATATCTATAATTTTTGTTTATACATGATTTTTCTAAAATGGACCGTAATGGAAAAGTGCTAAATTTAAATTTTTCTGTATTTTCGTTTTCAATGAATATCTATAGAAAAATGTTTCGAGGTAGATGTATGTGTAAAATGTATATATTTAGTTTATCCTCTAAACATTTATAGAGATGCTGCAATAGGTTGTACAAAATAACCGGAAAATGCCTATAATAACTAGATAGGAAAGTCATGTGTTGGACACATCAGATTTTTCGTTTTATTATAAAGTTACAAAGTTGTATGTCATTTAGTTTTTCTTTTCAAAATATATGTAAAAAACAAAATTGTATTTTAATTTTTCAACAAAATCCTTTATTTATAACATTATAACATTTAGAAAAGAAAATAAACAGACTATGGTATCTATGATTTCCGTAGATCAAAATATTGATTATCGATTATCTTCGTTTTGTATTATTGTACATACATACAACTATGTAATACTCAGGCAGAGCTATGTATTTGACCTAGGTCAATTTTTTTAACTCGAGAAATATGCGAATTTGTCCATATTCTTGACAAAATAAAAAATGTTTGTTTTTTCGTTTAATTATACAATTTTTCACAAAATGATATAAACAGTATAATGATAAAATTAGATGAAAGTATTTTCTTGATCATCTATTAGTTTTACGAATAAATAAGTATTTATATTTCACAAATAATTTCTATTTTATTAACAAATTATATAGACATCATTATATTATCCACTCAAATCCAAAAAAGGAGCATTTACATCACCGTCAATAATAATTTAAACATTTACAATTCTTTTAAGTAGCGCAGCTTTTGCCTACACAACGTGAATCAACACTTGTTTGAAACGAGAATACACGGTAGTTCGAGAGTAGAAGTCGTCGTCAAAGCATTGAATTCACCAAGTGTCGGGTCACAAAAAAAAATGACTAAATGTGCATTTTATTGAAACCCAGACGTGTTTGCGACAAGTGGTTTTTTACGTATTAAGTGCAGTGACGAATGGATTAAGACATATTAATTTGATTTTGGATTAAAAATTCACATCTGGATTAGTTTATTAATATCTAGGAAAGGTACATACGTTGTTTTTATTTAATAACATCCTAAATATAAAAATGTATAAAAAATATTAATATTTGTCCAATTTGGTGGTATAAAATAATCCAAAAATGCCTCCAAAGTTATTTGTTTTGTCAAATTACCCTATAGAATTTTTGGTATTTTTTTTAAGTTTAAAACATTAAAAACTTCGAATAATCCTATCAGGATCAAAAAAATTTAATTCTATATTAAAACCCTCTCTTATCATTTTAAATAATCTAATAAATTGAGGAAAAATTCTTTATTTTCCGCAAGAAAACTCTTAAAAATGGCGGTTTGAAGCATCAATATGTTGAAGGTCATCCTGTTTACAATAAAAATAAATAAATATAATACTTAATGTTGAAATGAAATATAATATGCATTAAAAAAATGATTACTCACTTGTCTTTTGTCTTATCTTTTGTATTGTAATGTTTATCGAAAAACGTATAATTCCTACCTAGTTATATTTCCAAATTAAAAAAAAAAAAATGTATTTACTTATTCATTTAAAGGCATGTTTAAAGTTTTAAGATATTGTTGCATTGTAATCCTAAATCCTAAATTCTGGAAACTTAAAACCTTTAAAATAATATTTACCTTAGTTTTGCGCAAAAAATTTTAAAAATGGCGGTTGATTCATCAATAGGTTGAAGGTCACTGTGCTTTCAATTCCAATATAGAAGAAAATAATATGAACATAAAAATGCTTACTGAACAATGTCTATTGATAAATATTCGTATAAGTTATAAAAATTATACAATTTCCGTGTATTTTTAGAAAAACTTAACACATCTCATATGAAATATCCAAATTAAAAAACACTTACCTACTCGTTTTTTGTGTAATGTATAATGTTACATTAGAGTTTATTTTTACCTAAGTGATAAACAATTGTTTTAAATGGACACAATAAATCGAGGATGTTACCTATTGTTTTTCGTCTAATCAAAATGGCGGAGTCTAATGTATTTGTAATTTAATTGTGTTGTGCTATAAGCCACAATATCGAAGTGTACAGAATATGTTAATTACTATAGCATTGAACACAATTGAAATCTAATTTTAAAATTTGGTAGTAAATTAGGTTATTATAAAAATACTGATTACTAATCTTATAAGGGTATGAGGAAAATTTACATTACAAACTGCAAGACCTGCGGGGCAATGGTAGTTTAGTAGGAATAAAAATTATGAGGCTGAAGCTAGCAGACAAACTAGCAGACAAACCGCGTGACGGTCTCTTAATGTTTTGATATTGTTATTCGGCAAAATCTTTGGTTTAGGTGGACTTTAGTGACATAAAAGTTTAGAAATAAATAAAACTAAGTGTATTTATTGAAAAAAATGGATTATTTAAATTCGAATTATTATTTAAAATAAGATAATCTTGCACAAAGACGGGGACGAAATAGGCACATTTACAATGCGATTATAAATATAATTTTTATACCAAATATTCATTAGGTTTTTGTTAATTGATTAAATAAAAAATTAGGGCCGAGCAATGATTTAAAATATATTTTTTTGGTCTTTCTAAAGTCAGATGTTTTGTCGTCAAACGACTAAGAGAACAAAGAGACAAAAAAAAAAACACATTTAACACGAGATTACAAATACAATTTTTATATCAATAATTAAGTGCACCACTAGGTTTAAAATAAATAAAAAATTATTAAATGGCAAGACATCTAAATATTATAGTTTTTAGGTTTTTAAAGTCAAGCGTTTCCGCGGATAAATATTACTCAGTAAAACCAACAAAAACAAACATTTAACACGAGAATCCAAATACAATTTTTATACCAAAGATTCAGTAAACAAGTATCAATCAAAAAATTGAAAAATCATCAAATAGCGAGACCTCTAAATACATGTTTAGGTATTTAAAAATAGGCGGTTTCGCAAAAAAAAAAATTCTATCAAAATACCAATATTTAGCACGAAATTCCAGATATAACTTTTAGTACGAATGATTCAATATATTAGTATCATTCAACAAAAAACCAAATCATGACATAGCATTACCTCTAAACACGTTTTTTGGGTCTTTAAAAATGCGCGATTCCGCGGATAAACCTTACTTTATCCGAATGACAAAAAACAATATTTGGTACGATTAAGGTATAATTTTTAATATGAAAGATTCAAAACATTATTATAATTTAAGTAAATAATAAATTATTAAATAGCAAGACCTCCAAATACGTTCTTCAGGTCTTTAAAAATGCGCGATTCCGCGGTTAAACCTTACTTTATCAAAATGACAAAAACCAATATTTAGCACGAAAATTCAGGTATAATTTTTAAAACGAATGATTCAATACATTATTATAATTTAAAAAAATAATAAATCATTACATAGCAAGACCTCTAAATACGTTTTTTAGGTCTTTAAAAATGCGCGATTCCGCGGATAAACCTTGCTGTATTAAAATTACTAAAACCAATATTTAGCACGAAAATCCAGGTATAATTTTTAGTATGAGTGATTCAATACATTATTGTAATTCAAAAAAATAAGTCATTACATAGCAAGACATCTAATAACGTTTTTATGTCCTTAAGACTGCGCGGTTTCGCGGAAAAACATTTCTCTATCAAAATATCAAAAACTAATATTTAGCACGAGATTTCAGATACAATTTTTAGAAAAAATGATTCAGTACATTAGTATCAGTCAACAACAAAACAAATCATTACATAGCAAGACCTCTAAATACGTTTTTTCGGTCTTTAATAATGCGTTTCGGTCTTTAATAATGCGCGATTTCGCGGATCAACCTTACTTTATCTAAATGACAAAAACCAATATTTAGCACCAAAATTCAGGTTTCATTTTTAGTATGAATGCTTCAATACATTATTATAATTTAAATAAATAATAAATTATTAAATAGCAAGACCTCAAAAACCCAATAAATCCTTATATAGCAAGACCTCTAAATACGTTCTTTAGGTCTTTAAAAATGCGCGATTCTTCGGTTGAACTAGGGTGACCAGATTTATTTGCAGAAAAGTAGGACAACCAGGACAAAAAAGCCTGATTTTTAATAAAAAAACCTGACATTTAACAAATATATTTATATAAAAAAATGTAACAATTTTTACTGAGGTAAAAACTACTTATACTTTTCAGAAGAACCAATTTCTTTTAAAATATTGGGATTGTCCATCAAATAATTATAATATTCCTCACAAGACATTTTTAAATTAAATTTTAACCATATTAGGCTTTTTATTGATTCGATAGATAAACGGTTTCTTTCTTTGGTCCACTGGCTGCGATTAAAGAAAAAATTCGCTCGACGGCAGCATTATGTGCCGGAATAGCAAAGTATAATTCACAAATTTTAAGTAAGACCACTTTGTATCTAAAGATAATAATAAAAATTCTTCATTTTGAATCTTTGTTGTCAAACTGTCCATTAATAAAATGATTTTAAGCGAAAAAGCCGGACATGTCCGGCTTTTTTTTGGCAAAAACCAATATTAAGCATGAAAATCGATACATAATTTTTAATATGAAAGACCTTTAAATACGTTTTTTAGTTCTTTAAAAATGCACAATTCTGAGGAAAAACATTGCTGTATCAAAATATCAAAAACTTATATTTAGCATGATATTTTAGATATAATATTTAGGACAAATGATTTAGTACATTAGTATCATTCAACAACACAACCAATCATTATATAGCAAGACCTCTAAATACGTTTTTTAGTTGTTTAAAAATGCGCGATTCCGCGGATAAACCATGCTTTATCAAAATGACAAAAACTAATATTTAGCACGAAAATCCAAGTATAATTTTTTACTATGAATGATTTAATTCATTATTATAATTCAAAAAAATAAAAAATCATATAGAAAGACCTCTAAATACGTTTTTTTGGTCTTTAAAAATGCGCGATTCCGCGGACATAATGATTTCTTATTATTTTTTTTTTTTTTTGAATTATAATAGTATATTGAATCATTCATACTAAAAATTATATCTGGATTTTCGTGCTAAATATTGGTTTTTGTCATTTTGATAAACTAAGGTTATCGCGCATCTTTAAAGACCTAAAAAACGTATTTAGAGGTCTTGCTATATAATGATTTAATGTGTTTTTGAATGATATTAATGTAATTGAATCAAACGTACTAAAAATTATATCTGATATTTCGTGCTAAATATTGGTTTTTGATATTTTGATAGAATAATGTTATTTTGCGAAACTGCGCATTTTTAAAGACCTAAAAAATATATTTAGAGGTCTTGCTATTTGATGATTTTTAATTTTTTTATTGATACTTGTTTACTGAATCTTTGGTATAAAAATTGTATTTCGAATTTCGTTGTTAAATGTTTGTTTTTGTTGATTTTATTGAGTAATATTTATCCGCGGAAACGTTTGAATTTAAAAACCTAAAAATTATATTTAGATGTCTTGCTATTTAATGATTTTTGATTTATTTTATAGCTAGTGGTATACTAACTTATTGGTATAAAAACTGTATTTGTAATCTCGTGCTAAATGTGTTTTTTGGTATCTTTGTTCTCATAGTCGTTTGACGTCAAAACACCTGACTTTAAAAAAACGAAAAAACATATTTTAAAAAATTTCTGGCCATAATTTTTTGTTTAATCAATTTCCAAAAACTTAATGAATATTTTTTATAAAAATTATATTTATAATCGCATTGTTTCATCTCCGTCTTTATGTAAGATTATGTCGTTGTAACTAATAATTTAAATTGAATTAATCCATTTTTTTCCATAAATATACTAATTTTTAATTATTTCTAAATTTTCATAATACTATACCTAAACCAAAGATTTTGCCGAATATATTATATAGGTCGATCTTAGTATTACAGAAATGATTTACTAAAAATAATAAGGTGTACAAATACTGTAAATTTGTTTATCCCTCCTAAAACATCAGTAAAATATATTAAAATTATTTTCATTCCCTAATATTAATTTCTTAAAAATCTAA